GAAAATAATAAACTAAAAATGCTGCCTCTTAACACTACTGACACTATAATGACATATTTAATTATACCTATATACTTTCGTAAAAGAGTTTTTATGGAATAAGAGTGATAAACGAGCACACAGTCTACTTAATGGCAAATTATTGTTGTGGCCTATAAACCTTTACATCTTTCTTCGATTAAAATTCAAAATGCAGATGCGTTGTCACCCTTGAGGACTAGACCTTGACTCCAGTAAAAGAAGTCTCCGGTTCTCCTACTGGTTAATGCCAAGGAGTGCACATTAAGGTCATCTCAAACTAAAATCCAATTAACAACGTTATGCAGTTGACTAGTTCGTACACAAAGCAATTACACGGCTAAGTTATGCCAATAGCGGTGGTAATATATACATTTTGTATTCAAATGTATCTGTGAGAGGCAGCTATTGACTAACACATTTTTTGTGATTTACTGATGTATGATCCGTGCATTAAATTAACCTTTGAAGAAACACTCCACATGATCAGTATTTTCTTTAGATTGTTACCAAAAGTGGTAAATATAAGAAGAATTAAATAGATATATCTTAGTTGGGCTTAACCAGGCAAACCCATCCATTTGTCCATCCATTACAAACTAATAAAAGGCAACTGCTGGACGTAGATTGCCTCATACAGTTGTCGCGTTTAGTTGGCATTTTAACAACCGTATTTTTTAATATTTAGAGTTGTTATAAAGAAAATGCTGCTGCTCATCCCCTGCACCATCCCCCTCAGTCTCCTCTTACGGCACTAACAGGTTGATATGGTATAGTGGGTATTCTTACTACGCGGATAAATGTGATTTTATATATTTAAACGTCAAAATAATTTCTTATTTTTATTACTTGCAGGTGGAGCTGTCGCTAAGGTATAAAGACTCTCTAATATGACATGACATTCTATTCCAAAACTATGATTTTTGAATAAAACTACTTTTACGGATTCTATCTCGTTTAATTATACTTAGACGTGTCTCGTGCTTTCCAGCATCCATGATCACGGTGGACTGAGGTGATTAACGTCTAACATATTTTATGCAATGTGTAGTGTTCGCGTAAATTAAAGAAATCACTATGATTTTTTTAAATTATTTTGAGTTATTGTCAGGAAGTTAACGCTATTCATCTCCCGTTACATTTAACTCAGTCGCGTCACGGAATGATATGTGGTAGTGAATTATCTTACTTACATGTTAAAGGTAAAAATGAAAGCATACGCTAAGAACATTTCCTTATTTTAATGTGGAATGACGCACTTACATCAAATCAAGTGTCAAGTTTGCACGTTAGCTGTAAGAACTTCGAAAGTATTAATTACGATGATTTGTGTTTAATTTCCCCGAGGGCGATAACTCTGTAAAACCTCGTTGCTTAATAAGTATGAAATGGATCATAATTGTGTCCCGCGGGAAGTGCTGCCACGTGAATTATTCATGAGCTGTGCTCCGAATAACTTGTGCCAGATTACTAAAACTCCATGACAGTGTAAGCATCGCAAATCCACTGATTTCAAATATTAAATTCGAGGAAAGGAGTACCAAAATTTATCGTAAGTACACAGCATCTCATTTGTTATTATTTATATCATTTTTATCTGCTAGGCTGCACAAAGAGGGTGGTACCTACCCAGATGGTTACCTACTCAGAAAAGAAGTCCAATCACCTAGTTAAAAAAATGACCAAATCAACATCATTCTTATTATACTGCTTCTTCTTTAACGGCTCGCGGAAGTCCACAGCTGGGTATGAGCTTCTCCCTTTGTAGGGAGGAGGATGTCACCAAATCATTGCGAGGTACTTTCCCCTCAAAGTCCTATATAACCTTTTATTAAAGGTCTTTTAAATAAGCTTTTGCGAAACTTATCAAGACCATCCTAATTTTTCCTTCATTCAATATTTTTCATTAAATGTAAAATTAGTTTTAGGTTGTTTATGGTTTACGATGTGAAAGTGCCTACTGCATTCAACTAAAAAAGATTACAAATACATTGTAGCACCTGGAGGCTTAGGTGGAATGATAAAGTTCTTATATTTATACAAGCTCTCCATATCTTGCTAAGCGAAACACTGCAGTGCATACACTGTTACTTGGCAGTCGAAATAAGTAAGAGGATGGTGGTCCCGCAGACAAGTCTGAATCAAATCTTTTTAGTAGTCAAATTAAAGAGTAATAAAAAAATAAAACATATGTATCTTACCTAGTTTGAAGAGCACCTCCCGACCTTCCTCAATTGCGTATACTATCCCCGTCACCACTAATCCCATCACCATTACTCCCAACTCCAATATACTGGCAAATTGACACCAACGTCAATAATACGACGCGTGTTTTGCATCTAAGCGAGGCATCATCATGTGAAACAGACTCTGAGGTAGCTGACCGCTAAGAGTAGAAGTAGTGGTGATGGAGGTAGTGCACGAAATTAAAGGGGGGCGGGAGGTGCTCTTCAAACTAAGTATTCATTCACATCATTTTATATTTTTAATCTTAGCTAACTAATGTGTAACATCTTTAATATAATGGATGTCCGCAAAGTAACGCCATATTGTATTAATTCTTATATATCATTCGCAGCGGACAATTACTCCGAGCGGTTGTGTTGCTATCCAAATAAATTACCTACAGTACCTAAACACGATGTCTTATAGTACAAACATGAATTACTTCTGCATACAACTTATAACAAGTAATTTCACGATTGAATAAATTCCATTATAATTATTTGAATTTAACATCACCTCACCACAAAACAGCTTGCTGGGAAAGTAATTAAGTAGCATAAAATCACGAATATGAACGTTTTTGATTTAATTTTTTATGAGTAAGGGTTACAAAGGTGGATACAGTCCACCTGATGTTAAGTGGATGTTGTGATCCATAGACATCTTTATGCTAAATTAAGAATTGAAATTCATATGCCTTGTCACCCCTGAGGACTAAGATGGAATGCCTCGTTTCCAGTAAAAAGGATCTCCGGTTCGCAACACTTACCATACGAAACACATTAAGCTGCTATTTACTCTGGTATTATGTGAGCGTGGTCCTACCCCGGTTGAGCTGACCCATTCGTAATACAACCATATTATAAATGCAGCATGGTACTACCACGGAAATGACTTTAGTCAGCAAAGTGGTAGTTCCATAGGTGTTGATATCGTGTGGTTTGCAGCGTAAACAGCTGGGACGGTATTATATGATGTTGAGGTAGGTCAGCCATAATCTGATGAGTGTTTGTTTGTTTGTGACGATGACATCGGATGCAGTGACGTAGTTTTGCTTTCACGGCCCGATTTCCGCCAACAATCCAATAACTTACCGTTACCTTAGATATGCTAACGTTAATCGAAGAAATAGTAAGCCTCCGTGAAGTGTTACAGAGTGAGTCGATAAGTAGTCCAGTGAAGCGTCCACTTCGAGGGATGGTGGCGGGGTGCTTCATCTCGAATGTTAAGTTAGAGTTGTGGATACGGCCTCCCACTCGTATAATCCCTTTTTTGTATAAGTAAGAGTTGAGTTTGAAAATACAACTTTTGTTTGTAATATTTTCTTGTTTTATAAGTTGTACTCGTTATCGAACTCTGTACTTTGCACAAATTTAATTATTTGTTCATTGGCGGCTGTTATTTCCGTTGTAGTAAGTTATTTGGCGTCACGTTTCGTCTTACTACGTGCATTTGTAATGAAGCATAGTATCTATGCCGTGACTCTTACTACGCGAGTTAATGAACTGCATTTGTTGATTAAAATATCAAGAAAATGTCGATCTTGATTAGTAGTTAGGGCTTCTACCTTCTTGCTTTTAAGTTCGGCGTTAGTAGTGTATAAACATGTTAGGTTGTTTATGCACTTTTCAGTTTCCAGATTTTGCGGAAATTCGAGACCATTCTACTACAGTTCGAAGTTGATTAGTTTGCTGGTGTACAGTCCACGAGAGGCACAATCGATTCGAGAGAAGTTCGATTGCTTCATGAATAAAGTTGTGTCCGCTCACAAGGTCGTCCACGTAAAACTCATCTTGAAGTACGCGAGCCGCTTCTGGGTGCTTGTGGCCAAGGTCCATTGGAAGTTGTTTGAGAGTTCACATTGGAAGCCATGGTGAACATTTCATCCCATAAGTCACGGTGCAAAGTTCATACTCTCGGAGCTTTTCAATTGGTGAATCACGCCATATTATTTTTTGTAGTTTTTGTTGATCTTGAGTGATTTCTATGCAGCGGTACATTTTCTCGATGTTGGCGGTGTATGCATATTTGTACGATCTCCATTTTAAGATGAGTGCTTGAATAGCTTTTGTAGATTGGGACCCTTTTCTTGTAGTTGGTTAAGACTGAAGCCGCTTCTAGTTTTTTGAGAAGCGTTAAACACGACTCTTAATTTCGTAGTAGTTGAATGTTCGCGTAAGACGCCATGATGCGGGAAGTAAAATTGAGGTAAGTAAGTAGGTATCGGAGACGAGGGCTTCATGTAGCCTAATTCTGTATATTCTTTGATAAAATCTCGGTACATCAGAGCGAGTTTATTGTTTCTTTCAAATCCTTTTTTAAAGGTTTAAGTATTTAGAAACAGTAATAAATTTTGAGTTCCCCATCTTTTCTTCATTGTTATAACAAAGCGGCATCGATGCGATGTACTTCCTGTTTGAATGACGTTGTACAGTGTTTGAGTAGTGACTTTCACAGTAGTCATTCTTGGACAAGTCATTGTCGTCTTGAACGATACCAGTACTTGGATATTTCGTTGAGATCGATAAAAGTTACGTGACAGTTCAAAGTCTTTAATTTGCCGCACAGCATCCATCCCAGTTGTGTTTGTTACGCAATCGGGGATTATTGGCCTTTGAGTACTCCATCTAGTAAATATCTGAGTACACGTAGGCTCCTAGTAGTAGATCAATAGGGCGCGACATGTGGAAGCCTGGATCTGCAAGCTTCAAGTTTTCCAAGTGCGGCCAGTTAGTTGGTTCAAACGACGAGTTAGGTTAGTTGTTCGTGAGTTTTTTCACGATGAGGGCTTCAGTTTCAAACGTGTAGTTAGAGTAGACTGATTTGCAAGACAAATTGAGGCATCCCTTGCAGTCCCCAGATACAGATCCTACTCCAGTAACAGCTGCGTTCATTCTTTTTCTAGTCAGTCGTAAGAGCTGCGGCGCCCTTTCAGTGATTAAGTTTACTTGTGAGTCTTGGTCGAGTAGAGCCCGTAATTTTATTTGACTTCCATTTGCAGTCATCACTTGCAGTTTTACAGTTGGAAATATAATTTCCACATCATCAGTGGACAGATGATTGGAACATGGTTGTAAAGAAGTTGAAAGTCGTGGTTTTGGGCAGTTTTCGTTCGATGTTGTTTTAGTTGTGGGTAAGTATTTCTTTATAGAATTGTGCATTTTGATGTGTGCAATTGTGATGCCGCATATGACACTCTTTACACGTTTTTAAAGAATTGCATTTTTCGTTGCCATCACTAAATAAACACTTTCGCACAAATGCAGTTTCACGATAGTGTTATTGCGTTGTGTAAGGTTCATGTCAACGAACTTCTGGCATTGCATCAACACGTGATCTTCGTTACAGTTTGGACATTTTTCCATAAGTAGTGTAGTAAGTTTTCTTAGATTCGTTGATGTATTTCTTGAAAGGATAATTTCTGTCCGTGTTTTTCCATGATGAAATGTTCTTGTTTACATTTCTCGCAAAAGTTGGTTTCTGATTTTGAGTAGCCGTAGTTTCTTCCTTTGCATTTTTAATTGATTCGTATGCCATGAACTTACACTCAAGAAAGTATAGAAAATCGTTTTTGTAACTCTCTGTGTTCTTGTAGTACTTTCATGTATTCTGAGTAGGTGGCTTTATCAAGTTTTAGTGACATCAAGTGGACAATAAGTGGATCCCACGTAATAGTATCGATGCCAATATTCGTGATTCCATTCAAACATTCCGTGATGACGTCATGCATCCTTTTTAGGTTGTAGCTGTCGGGATTTTGTATGACAGGCAGGTTGAGCATGGTGTTGATGAAAGATGTGAATTGAAAGCGTTGGTTCCCATAGCGTTGGGTTAGTATATCCCAGCATGAGTTATCGTTGTCTGCACTGATACTGAGATGCTGCACTATGCGCTCAGCCTCACCCCTCAGCTTAGACTTGAGATGTTATTTATCATTGGATTGTTGTGAATGGCTGCCATGAAGAGGTCTTTGAATGAAACCCATTGAGTATAGTTACCAGAAAATTCAGGAATTTCCATTCTTGGTGCAGATTTTTTGTAATAAATAGTTGACCAGATTCTCGAATTAAAAATTCGTCGAATTTCGTCATAGTTGTCAACCATTTCGACAAATATGTTGTAATATTTGACTTTAGAGCCTATGTTCTTAACAAAAGCTATGGCTTGCCCGTACAGATATCGTATGATACATATTTTCTTCGACTTCAAAAAGGAGACGGTACTCAATTCGACTGTATGTTTTTTTTTATATGTGTTACCTCACGACCTTTTACTGGGTGGACCGATTTCGATGATTCGTATTGATTTGAAAGCTGGTGCTTCACATGTGGTCCCATATATTAATTTGATCAAGGTCTGACCAATAGTTTTTGAGTTATTGTTAATAAATTATATTGAAGTCAATTGTACAAATTTTTTAATTTTAAATTATTCTTTGCCATTAGAGACACTGTTATTAATCTTTTCTTAATTATGACAATCTCTCATTGTGCTTTTTTCAATAGTCGTACATTCACGACCGGTTCGTAATTCAGAAGAAGAAGACAAGCCTGATATTGTTTACTATGAATTTTAATTCGGTTATTCCGTTTATCCATCCTAAAACAGCCACCCTATGGCGGATACACGGAAACGCGTGTTCGTCTATTCACCCCAGACGGGGAGGATAATCGGAATTCTTATATTATATTTCTCCCTCGGTTGTGTATAGTCATTTATAAAAACTGGCCCAAGATACCTAGATAGTAGATATTATCATACTTACCTATAAAATATTGAATAAAACTATTTTTACGGATTTTATCGCGTTTAATTATCTTGTTTTTTATTAAAACCCGACGTTTCGTGGTCTCGGGGGACTGAGGTGATTGACGTCCCGGTGTTAGAGTTAACCCGGAGTACCTTCAGCGTTTGCATGCCGGGTGCAAAGCGCATAGCTCAACTAGCGCCTAAAAATCAAGATTCCAACGCTTTGTCGCATGAAATCGTATCTAGCAATCATATATATATATATATATATATATATATATAAATGATATAAAAAGCACATTGTCAGAAAGATAAATGATTGTTGAACTTATTAATGTTTTTTTTTTAAATCGATTTATTGCTATTTTTAGATGAAAACGGGATTTTAGTAGCTTGTAAAATATTACCCATAGTAGTTGAAAATTTCTAAGGGTAATTTAGAAACATCATTATTAGGGAACACATTAAAAGAAAAAATCCGATCTAGGCATAAAATTGCGGACGTGATGACCACAAATGTGAGCAGAAGTACGAATTTCGGAATTTTATAAAACATGGCGTAGACCGCGACCCGTTCGGGATAGATTTTCTTTTAGGGACCAAGGCCACCTCCCCCCCCCCAAACACGTACGTACCAGATTATCCACCATTATCGGGACAGCCTGTGTATATATATGTATATAGTATTTTTGAAACGCTCCCGAAAACTAAGACAGGCGACAACACCAAGTACACCTTTGATCATGGGTCACAAATAAATTCGATCCTGATGAAAAAAAAATCATCTTTTTACAACGTTTTATTAGCTTTATTCACGCGCCATCATGTTAGTACAGCTAAATGAAACGATAATTTCATAAAATATATCATGAAAATACTGAAACATAAAACCAGCAGTGGAATGACTGAATTTATATCACCTGACTGAAAGATCAATGTACGCGCGAACGCAAATTCGCGCGGCCCGCAACTAGCGGGCCATACCACAATATCTAATAATTTACAACACTTGTCTAAATACCTAACTTATCTACTTAACCTACTATTTTGCCACTGTGCTTGTCTCCACTTAGCCACTTTAATCCGAATTTACAGGTTAAATAACCCAAATTACTGGTTCGATTTCCCGCTAATGAAAAAATACTTAAATGAAATGTAACCAAGGTTGGAGTCATGAGTTTTTATTCATCGTGTAGGTATGTTTATTATTCTCATGTATTCAGTTATGTACCTATTCAGATTAGTCTAGTACTAAGTTATTTAAAAAAAATAGGGATGAAACAGCTTACCGCTCTAAATCCTCCGTGGTCTTATGAGATGCGGCTCAAATTGTGCTCCATTCATTTCAAGGTAGATTTGGGTGCAGGGGGGGCATCATCATGTGGTCTTCGACACAGTCCGTACGTAGTTTCTCGAAAGCATCCACGATCCTTTGGCGCATTTCTTCAGCACTATCACATTCACGATTAAAAACCCTTTCTTTCACATACCCCACAAAAAGAAGTCTAACGGAGTCAGATCTGGTGAGCGAGGTGGCCAAGCGTGTGGTCCTAGTCTGCCGATCCAGCGATCATCAAATAGCTCATTAAGGCGCTCACGGACGAACCTCACGAAATGTGGAGGGGCCCCATCATGTTGGAACCATGTGCGGCGATATTCAGCCAACGATAGGTCGTTTAAAATGTCAACCAACTGTTCATTTATAAAGTTTAGGTATCGCTGTCCGTTCAGTCGCTCTGGCAGAAACACTGGTCCCAGTATGCGATCCTTAAATAAACCTGCCCATACGTTAACCGACCATCGGGTTTGGTGCCCGGTTTGTGTTGTTCGATGCGGGTTAACCTCTGAATATACGTGTGTATTTCTTCGGTTCCACAGGCCGTTTTGGTAAATGTCGACTCATCCGTCCAGATAATGTGCTCAATGGAACCAGGCATACGTTGTTGCTGGTATAATAACCAACGGCAGAAAACTCGTCGGCGGTCGTGATCGCCGGGAACTAAAGCTTGCACTTTGTGCAATTTGTATGGGCGCATTTGGTTACGCTTCAACACTTTGTGCACTGCACAGTATGACACACTTGTTCCATCCCGACGTCTTAACAATTTATTTAGCGATACTTCGTGTACCTAGGTTCGGATACCTAACATGTTGCCGTATTCATAATCGCTATAAACGTACGCGTTAAGCATTCATCATTACAGCCCTTCACAAGTCCACTGCTGAACATAGGCCTCCCCCAAAGAATGCCACAAAGCACGGTCCTGAGCCACCTGCATCCATCGACCTCCCGCATATCTTACCAGGTCGTCACTCCATCTCGTGGGGGGACGCCCTACACTTCGCCTACCGGTACGAGGCTGCCACTCGAGAACCTTTCTTCCCCATCGGTTGTCGGTTCTTCGAGCTATATGGCCGGCCCACTGCCACTTCAGCTTACTAATCCGTTGGGCTATGTCGGTTACTCTGGTTCTACTGCGGATATCCTCATTCCTAAGTTTATCACGCAGAGAAACTCCGAGCATAGCCCTCTCCATAGCTCGCTGAGCGACCTTGAGCTTCCTCATACGGCCAGCAGTGAAGGACCACGTCTCAGTTCCGTAAGTCACCACTGGCAACACGCACTGGTTGTACAATTTCGTTTTCAGGTTTTGAGGTATGTTTGACGAGAAGATGTGTCGTAGCTTCCCGAACGCTGCCCAGCCGAGTTGAATCCGTCGATTGACCTCTCGGTCGAAGTTGGACTTACCTAGTCGGACTATTTGTCCCAGGTAAACATACTCGTCAACAACTTCGAGCTTAGTGCTCCCAACAACTACCGGCATAGGTGTGACATGGACATTGAACATGATCTTTGTTTTGTCCATGTTCATCTTAAGACCTATCCGTTGGGAAACACTATCGAGGTCATTGAGCATAGTGCTTAGGTCCTCCAGCGATTCTGCCATAAGGACTATATCGTCGGCAAATCGAAGGTGAGTGATGTACTCGCCATTGATGTTGATACCGTATCCTTTCCAGTCCAGAAGCTTGAAAACGTCTTCCAATGCAGCGGTGAAGAGTTTTGGGGATATAACATCACCCTGTCTTACACCTCTCTGCAATTGGATAGGCTTCGTACTCTGGTTCTGTACTCGGATAGCCATCGTAGCTCTACTGTACAAACACTTCAGCACTTCGATATACCGACAGTCAACTTGGCATCGCTAAAAGGACTGCAGCACCGCCCATATTTCGACAGAATCAAAGGCTTTCTCATAGTCCACATACGCCAGACATAATGGCAAATTGTACTCCTCGGACTTCTGTACAACTTGTCGAAGGGTATGTATGTGGTCTATGGTGCTAAAGCCCTTTCGGAAACCGGCTTGTTTAGGAGGCTGGAAGTCGTCAAGTCTGCGCGCGAGACGAT